TTCATCATCATAATAATAAATGTTTTTTGAGCAGCAAATCAGCATATTAGAATGATTTCTGAAGGATCATGTGACTGGAGTAATGCTGCTAAAGCTCTCCTTTGAAATCACAGGAATAAATTATATATTCAAATAGAAAACAGTTATTTAAATAGTAAAAAATATTTCAAAATGTTACCGTTTTTGCTGTATTTTGGATCAAATAAATGTAGGCTTGGTGAGCAGAAGAGAATTCTTTAAAAAACATTCAAAATCTTATGGTTCAAAAATACAAACCCGATTCCAAAAAAGTTGGGACACTGTACAAATTGTGAATAAAAACAGAATGCAATGATGTGGAAGTTTCAAATTTCAATATTTTATTCAGAATACAACATAGATGACATATCAAATGTTTAAACTGAGAAAATTTATAATTTTAAGGGGAAAATAAGTTGATTTTAAATTTCATGGCATCAACACTCCAATTTTATAGGAGTTGGTTTCATAGAGTTGGCAAATTAATTGTTCATAAGTTTGTAGGTACAGACATCTGTTGTGGCCGTTCTTGGCCGTTTTTATGAGGCTTTTTTAATAGTGTTCATATCGATATCGGAATTATATCGTATCGACCGAAATTAAGAGATATATATTGTGATATAATTTTTATCCATATCGTCCAGCCCTACTTCAACCTGCTGACAAAAAAAAACAACCGGCGGCAATCGTGGATTTGGCAACACTGGTACGCAAACTAGTTTCATATAACTCCTCCCCGAACTTCCCGCTGCCCTGTATCTTCGTCTCTCATTGGCTGTAGGTCATCCCCGATGTGTTTTTCAGTCTGAACTAATTTCACACAGCGTGATTGTGAATCGCCGATTGAAAATACACAATGAGCACCTTAAGCAATAAAGGTCTTTCCATCTACTGTTTGAACAAATGCAGCTTTGTCCAGCTTCAAATCTTCAATTAGGCCTGCTCATTCCTATAGATGTGATTATAATCATCCAGTCCTCCTTTCTTTCTGTCATGGAGAGCATGGAGAGTATGGAGAGCAAAATAAAAAATAAACAGATGTGCAGTAAGCAGGTGTTAGAGTACACAGATAACCTGATTCTTAGTTCACCTAAAAATTTGAATTCTGTCATCATTTATTCACCCTTGTGTCTTTTAAAACATGTATGACTTTCTTTCTTTCAGAATGTCCAAGCTGCTTATGTCCATACAGTGAATGTAGTCCATGACAAACAAGCTTTTCAGGATTTTTAATGACTTAATTTTCTTCACAAAAATGTAACAAATGGCAGCAGAAGACCTGCTTTTTTTGTCCTGTTTAGACAGCCCCTTGTCTCCCTTCTCTTTTCTTGTGAGGAAGAGAACATCTGAGACCTGCTAAACTTCACCTTTGATTTCCCTTGAAATTTTTTTTGCAATGTCACGAGGCTGAGTGAATGACAATTTCATTTTTTAGTCAAACGTCATTTTTAAGAACACTAATTTCTTTCAGTTAGCAAAATGGTGTGTCCTAATGAATGACTGTGACGTCATCAGAGCTGTTAGGTAAGCCACAGTATCAAAACCGCAAACAAATAGTTAAGTCAGCGCCTGTATAATTGCTCAAATTAAAATGCAACGGTTGATTCTATCAGGAAATAAGAATTTGATTGTTCCAGATTAGTGGGTGAGATATTTAGGTCATTTGTCAAAACTGGATAATGTGTGTGGAAAAAGATGAATGTGAGCCCGTGTGTGAGAGCATATGCACATGTTAACACACTCATGTTTGAAAAACTTCAGGTATGTGTTTGTGTGTGACACTTGCCGAAAAGAGAGAGAATCCCACAGGCAATCCACACCACCAGTGACATTCCCACACTGCCTGAGTTCTTCAGAATTCCCTTTGGAGAAATGAATATTCCCGCTCCAATTATCGTCCCAGTGATGATAGAGATTCCTCTGAGCAGGGTCACCTTCTTCCGCAGTTCCACCTTCTCCTCGGGGGCTCCGGCATGGGGGTCTCCATTTGATTTGAGAGGGTCTTTCTCTCCAAAATTACTTGGAGTTGGATCCCCGCTGGGATGCGGAACTGACACAGTCCTTCTGGTCATCTTGTTCACTCACTCACAAACTCACACACATTGACTCAGTCACTCAAAGCGTAGTGTGCCTCCCTTTCCCAGTTGCACACGAGAGGCCTGAGTGGAAGGTGTTCTCACAGCAAACTTCTGATACGCTGTGACAACTTTAAACAAATACGATGTGATATGGCTTCTCCCTCCTCTTGTCTCCCTCTCGCTGGCCTTTTTACTGTCTCAAACACTCCCCTTTTCTCTCCTTTACCTTGTCTTCCTCTTTTCATCTTGTCCTGTAATTTATGGCATAATGTGTGAGTAAAGAGGGTGTTTCTTGTTGTGGTAATGGTGTTTAGTGACAGCAGCATAGCCCAGAGTCATGATGCTTCAGCAATAGTATCTGATTCTCAACTTTCACACAAGGGCATCTGGCACTCACTTTAAACACTCGCTGTTTTCGCTCGTTCTTTCAAAGACCCATTTCACTGCACTTGTTATAGACGTGTTCTGATTAGCAAGTAAGCAGACCTTAGACTGATAACAAACTCCTGTTCCCAGGATTGAAAACCGACTGTTATTTTTTTGTCATACTTCATGTTGTTAACACAAGGTTTGAAATTTGTTTGTTTGTTTGTTTGTTTATTATATAGCACAGTTTAATGCAACTCCAGGTTGCCCAAAGTGCTTCACAATATCACAATAAAATTACATAAAAACAAGCATAGTCCGAAATAACAACACAAATCACATAACAACATGGACACAATTTCAAATAACTAAACCTGCATCACAACAACTCCTCATTAGTCTTTAACAACCAGTTAAACTCTGCGGACCCGGATACGGGTCCAAATCGCATAAAAAATGTTTATGCTTCATTTACATAGCCTTCCTTATATGGTATCAGCCCATATATGGGTTCATTTGAAAGCTTGGAGTGTCTTCTTTACAAAGAATACCATTCCTTTTGGTTTTTATATTCATAAAGCAGAAAAATTAAGCTTAGAAATGTATTCGTCCCACACACGATTTTCCGCCTAGCCATTGCGAACTTTTTTTACGAAGAATGTGTATTTGATATATTTTTCACAATAAAGTCAAGTCATATATCACAAGAAAGCTCTCATTCTCAGGAATTTGACGATGTAGATTATTTAATTGTGTGACATAGATCGAATTATCTTCAATTGAATTGCGATGTAAAAAAAAAACTTTTTTATTGTGTAA